TTTATGATTACATTGGTGTAATTATAAAAGAAGTGTGCATTTAGTGAAACAAACTTAAAAGCTATGCTTTACTATTATCTTTGTACATTAACATCGGACAATATACCACTGGCTATTTTAATTAATTAATGTCAGATTACATACACCAATGTAATTGCTCTATCATGTGCTAATGATCCAAACTTTTATCATGATTGTGAAAGAACGTCTAGAAAATCATTTAAATCAAATGCTCTAAAAATTAAGATATGTTATACATACAAGTCCATATCTTATGGAAAATAAAGTTCTCATCAGAACATTACATTAAAGAAAAGTTTCCTGTTTATCTCCATAGTAAATTGAAAATAGCAGCCGAATAATAATAATATCAGTGTTAATATTTCTCGTGAATATCGAAGAGACTTTAATAATGTTATTTAGTAAGACAAATGAAAAAGAAAAAAGAGAGAAAAGAGCGGACCCGTGGAATACAATTTCATGTACTCTCAAATGGGCAATCCCCCTATTATGAGGTCAAACACTTGGTGGGAAAATTATCCAAAAAGTCCTAAAACTATTTTAATACTGTCAATTTAGTAATAAACTTTTCAATTGTACTAATTCAATCCTAAACCTTTTGATAATTTGCCAACTTAGTCAAAAACTTTTTAACAATTTGTCAATTTTGTCTTTAGGCATATTTTGGTCGGAAATTGCTGATGTGGGGGTCTAGTTAGCATCGGCCATCTTACATGGCACAACTAACACTGATGAGGACATTTATTGCAATTTTTGTTAATTTTTTTCTTTTTTTCTTTTTTTTCCTTTTCTTTTTTCTTTTTCTTTTTCCCTCTGCCGGCCCTCACCTAAGTTCGGTGGTCTACTGGCCATCATCAAAGCTCGGCACTGGCTGGCGAAGGGGAAAAAGAAAAAAATAAAAGGAAAAAAAATAAAAAAAATAAAAAAAACTTGTCCATGTTAGTGCTGACCATACCATGTAGAACGACCGGTACTGACTAGACTGCCACGTCAGCGATTATTGGCCAAAATTCCCCAGAAAGATTAAATTGACAAATCGTTAACAAGTTTATGACTAAATTGGCAAACCATCAAAATGTTTAGGATTAAATTGGCAAACCATCAAAATGTTTAGGATTAAATTGGTACAATTGAAAAGTTTATGATTGAATTGATAAGTTGTTAAAATGTTTAGAACTAAAGTGGCACAATTTAAATGTTACTAAATTGGCCGCCATATAATAAGTTTCGGACTTTTTGGACAATTCTCGCAACAACCAACCGAGTTTAATGTATTAATGATAAATATTTAACATTGAAAATTGATATTATACATTATAGATATTGTAAAAAGTGCACTTATACAGTATGTTTCACATTATCATTCTATATGATACATTTTCTTAAAATCAAAAGTAAAATTTTTTGTCAAATTCAAAATTCTTTATCCTTTTTTATATAGGGAAAATGCCACAAAAAACCCCAAACTATGCTACTTGTGTGACAAATTTACCCTGAACTTTTTTCTGTGACATGAAAAACCTCAAACTATGCCACTTATGACAAATTTACCCTGAACTTTTTTTTGTGACACAAAAAACCCCAAACTATATCACCTGTGACACATTTACCCCACAATACTTTGGGCCATGGGCATTTTCGTCTTTTTCCTTTTCCTTTTTTTCTTTCTTCCCTCCGCCGGCCATGGCGGAGGAAAGCCGGTAAGGGCTGCCTTTGTCGGATCCGGCGAGGGCGACCCTCGCTGGCGTCGGGCAAGGGTCGCCTTCGCCTAGGCGGGCAAGGACGCCGGCAAGGGTCACCCTCGCCTGGGCGGGCGAGGGCAGCCCTCGCCCTCGCCGGCTTCCTCCGCCATGGCCGACGGAGGGAAGAGAGAAAAAAAAATAGAAAAAGGAAAAATATGAAAATGCCCATGGGCTAAAGTATTGTGAGGTAAATGTATTACATGTGGCATAATTTGGAGATTTTCGTGTCACAAAAAAAAGTTCAGGGTAAATTTATCACAAGTGATATAGTTTAAGATTTTTCGTATCACAAAAAAAAATTCAAGGTAAATTTATCACAAATGACATAATGTGAGATTTTTTGTGGTATTTTTCCTTTTATATATTCTGAAACTCTATCCTTATTGCTGCGCACTGACTTGAGGAAGAATTCCCTCAAAAAGATTATGATTAGACATGTTCTCAAAGGTTTTTTCATCATAATATTATTTACTCAAGTAAGATGTCGTGGATGGTGGCCTGGCCACACGATGGATGGTATTTGAATATTCAGCATTCATTCACTAATTAAAACTCTTCATCTTTATTACTTCTTACTTAATTGAGAAAAAAAATGTTGTTATGTGAGTTTTTAGTAATATAAAATACGAAATCCTCCAAGTTGTTATTTCTTACTTAATTACGAAAAATATACGTTTCAATGTTATTCTCTATGATAAATTAATTTAGAGAAACAATATATAATATTTTCCTAGGTCGTCAATCATTGCACATGCTTCCCTTAATAAATTTTCAGCCTCGCGTCAAGATGGAATAAAAATGAGAACCAAGGATCAAGAGGAAGAAGGGAGGGTCCCAAGAAAACAAAAAATAAAAAGAAAATCGGTTGAACAAGAGATGTGACAATTGGAATATGTCTGTCCTTTCATTTGACAAGAATATCATTGAATTAATTATTACTCTCTCATAATAAATAAGTAAATGAATGAATAATGGAGGAGAGAACATGATCTCAGAGGACGGAACAGGATATGTGCTTGATGGTGAAAGAAAGGAGAACAAGGACCACTCAAATCAGCTTAAAATAATTGAATTTGCAGTATGAAACTAAGAAAGATAAGGATTCTGTCTCCACGTTCTTGATGTCCAAACAAAAGAAGGCTTGGCCGACCAAACCTCACAAATTTTCATTAAATTTTTTTAAGAAAAAGTTGGGCCTTTAAGGGGATCATCATCGTGTCTTTGCCCAACTTTATCTTTGCTTTAAATTAATAAAAAGGCGTGGATTGCATTATGGGTCGAAAACAAGAACTAGGGTTTGGATTTGTGGTGTGACATGACTTCAAGAATTATGCAGAATTTAAGGAAAAGTGAGTCTACTTTTTTCTCTGTCCTTTGGGCTACACGAGGTTTCGAAGGAACAATGACACCGAGACCTTTATTAGGGTTGGATTAGATATTCCAAACATATGATTAGTAAAAAATTAAAAAGAAAATGCAGCATAATCAGCTTGTTGGTGACAAACCCATGTTACAACAACATTACTCTAGTTGGGTTGGCTTTGAACATTTATAAAGTATGTTTGTATAAGATAAGAATATGCAGAAGAGAAGATGTTATAATTTCTGTGGATTTTATAATGAAGAGTAGTACTTGAGACATTAATGAACTTCTTACGCCGAACATTCTAAGGTAACAAGCAATTAAGATCAATAAATTAATGCACCATAAGAAAGATCGATGCACAATCCTGAGGATAAAGAGAATCTAGGAAAATATGTGGAGAATTTCCTAATCATCTCTGACAGTATATATGTATATATCTATGTATAAATAGTTATGAATTCTTGTCTTATAAGAGGAGTTCAAAATTGTTTTTCCCCCCTTTTCCCTTCTCTCTTGTCTAAAGAGATTTCTTTCTGTAAAATCTTCGGTGGAATGGTTGGATTATTATAATATCTTCACTCACATAAATTGAAAACGTTTTTTTCCTCAATTGAATCAACTAGGAATCGTAGCATCCAAAGCAAGTGCTATTGCTCATGACATGAGGTGATTGAAGAATACTAATTGTAAAGGGGAACAACATTTTATGGGTATTTCCATCTTCATCGTCATTATCAATAAAATAAAATGAAATATGATAAATGGATGATTACGAACCAATCATGAAACCTTCCCCACCTAAGATGCATTTAAGGAATAAAGTTGTGAGGCCTTGGGTCAAAACGAACAATACTTCACATGAATACAATTGAGTCCATACATCTAGGGTGATGTAAACGAAGAAAGTGCTAATTAAGTTCCGATAAAAGTCAAGGGAGTGCCTTGACTTCTCGAAAAGACTATTAAGTCCTCTCACGCGAGACGTGATTAGCACACATTGAAATCGATTTAAATTATGAAATACACTATACAGGGTGATGGATGAAGTTACTTATATGTCGGTGCATGGAAAGCACTAATCTGCAGCCAAATTATTTATCGTGACGATCTAGTTGAATCCCAACACTAAGAGAAATGAGAGAGAGAAAGAAGTATTGATGTCATCGGTACGATAGGCTAATTGCAATTCCCAATAAGTAATTATGATTGCGATTCTCTAAATCTTCACCATTTGTTCTCATTTGAAATAGGTAAAAAGAAGAATCTTCTCCTTTGAGAATAATCGAACATGAAAAGTGTTCAATTGGAATATGAAAACGCAACCGAATCGGTTCCATTTACTCCTGTGGTAGTGTCAAGGCAATATAGACATTAATCATTAACTTTTTCTTTGAAAAAAAAAAGGAAAATAACACAAACAGTCCCTGAACTTTGACCAATGCGCAATTTGGTCCATGAACTTTTAATTTGTTCAATATAATTTTTGAACTTTAACATAATATTCAATTTGGTCTTTGAACTTTTAATCTGTTCAATGTGGTCCCTAGACTTTTAGTATATGTTCAATATTTTCATATAGTTCAGAAATTAAATTGAACATATACTAAAAGTTCAGGGACCACATTGAACAGATTAAAAGTTCACGGATCAAATTGAACATTATGCTAAACTTCAGGGACTACATTGAATAAATTAAAAATTCATGGATCAAATTGAACATTGAATCAAAGTTCATGAACTGTTTGTGTCATTTTTTTCAAAAAAAAAAAAGGAGAGGTTACTTGGCAGTGATTGTAAGGAGGGACTCTTGATTCTGTCACAAAGGGGCACCAATCCAGAGGATGTTAGTTAGTGGGTAGAGCATTTCCCACATTATAAAGCAAGTCAATTTTGTATTTTCTTAAGACCACATCAAGCCACTAAAAATCATTTTCAGAGGTTGTTCTTTAGCATCTATAGCTCCTCTGATCTGATCTGATCTGATCTGATTTAGGAGTCGTTATTCTCCACCCCCAAGATCTGCCAATTTAAAGCCACAAGCTCATTTGTCACCCCCCACACTCCTCTATCCTTGAACAGGCAGGGAACAACAGGCATGGAGGTGGGTCAAATGCAGAGGAGGTTGGTAGAGTTCACCAAATCATTGTTTATGGAGGTAAAAAGTTCAATTCTGTAAAATTTGTGTGCTATTCCCGAGTGGGTTTGTATTTTCTCTTTCTTTTTTTCCCTGGGTTCTGTTTGATTGTGGTTGATCTTGACTTTGGAACACTTGTGTTGTTTTGGGTGAGAGGAAGGGTTTCTTGGACGGTCAGTTTTTGCAGCTCCAACAGCTGCAGGATGAGAGCAACCCAGATTTTGTTGTGGAAGTTGTGTCCCTCTTCTTTCAAGATTCTGAGAAGCTGCTCAATGATCTGACCTTGGCTCTGTAAGGAAAACTCTTCTGATTTCACCTGATTTGAAGAAACTAATGTTGTTGGTTTATTATTGTTTTGGCCTTTGGCTATGGGATTTCTCTGATTTTACTTCCCATTTTGTCATCTCTGCACAGAGAGCAGCAAAATGTGGACTTCAAAAGAGTTGATGCCCATGTTCACCAGTTGAAGGGTAGCAGCTCCAGGTGCATTAGAATTTCCTTTAAAAAATAGAAAAGAACAAATACTCAATCCCACTATTTTCAAATAAGACAGACACCGAAAACTCGATTTTTCAGATTATATAAACTAGTTGGTTCTCCTAAATTTGCAGCATAGGTGCACAGAGAGTTAAAAATGCCTGCGTTGTGTTCCGCAACTTCTGCGAAGAGCAAAACCTCGAAGGGTGAGTTTGTTGGATCTCGTGTTTCCGAGTTTTGTGATTCGTCGTTTCGTCGTCTGATTGATCACAACAGAGCTATTAAGATTTAAGAAGATTCACAGGACATTAGAATTGGACATCAAAATTGAAGAAAGATCCTGAATGTTCCAAACCGGTTTTCATTCTCTGTGTGCAGGTGCATGAGATGTCTGCAACAAGTGAAGCAAGAGTTCTACCTTGTGAAAAACAAGTTTGAAACCCTGTTCACCGTGAGTATATCTACCCTTGAATTCGGGAAAGAACTCATCCAAATTCGCACCCAACTCGATTCAGTAGCATCTTTTCGGTTTTAGTTCACTGCTTAATTTGTCGAGACATATGTTCTTGTTTACTGCAGCTAGAGCAGCAACTCGTGGCAGCGGGCGGTTCCATCCCGACGATGGAAATCACGAGCTTCTAAGAATTTAAGCAGAATATCAACGTACCCCTGATATGCCGTAGAGAATCCGTCACCCGATTTTGCGAACTTTCTTGGGACCATTAAGCTTATGAAGTAACCATGTTTCTGTGTGGTCTCCACTGAGAAAGATGTATCTCTCTCCTGTGTGTTTGTAGGTTTCCTAAAACAGGAACAAATTTCTGTGTAGTCTAGCGTTTTTGGCTATATATTTGGTATTAAATTCTCTACTTTCTTGACTGATGGGCAGTGACGACGACTCGTTACATCATAGATTTGGTGTTCAAAAGAAGAGCACAAGATCTTCCTGATGCAGGACAGAATTTTAGAGACAATTTCCACATGATGTCCTCGTCAAGTCATAAATCCAGCACAATCTTCACCCTGCATATTTAGCATCTGATAACGAATTACCAAGTACGATTTCCTTATGGCTTTGATTGCTAAGTAAATCAATCGCGACGTGAAAGTATGCAGCATCTTCAGTTACTTTAGTCGATATAGCATTTTCTAGATCAACATGAGAAGAAATCTGGCACAAAGTGGTGTTTACTAACATGGCAATACGATTGCAGCCTCCATGAAAATTCAATCTTCAGAGAGACCACGCCAAATTATTTAACTGATGTACAAGGACTAGCTGCTAGTGCTTTCATATCCATGGGCATGCAAAGACGCCAATTGTCGACGGAAATGCGAGCTGTGACAGGTCTATGTCGACATACATGGACCATTGAGGTCACGCAGCCGATTGGTCTCTTCCCGGCTTATGGGTTTGTAATCCCTAAAGAATCAACTACCATTTTCATCTACAATCTGGAGCACTCGATAATCGATAGTTAAATCGTTCAAAATGGCAATCCAAATGTTGGAATGACTATTTTGCATATTCTACAATTGACAAAGAGACCACATCAACAAGAATAAATATCACAAGAAGCAGAGCTCCAAAGCAAGCAGAAGCATATAGATAGATAATCAAACATCTATGAAACACAACAAATGAAAAATCGTTCATTGCTGAGCAACAGACTAACAGATTGACCACTCGGTACCTGCCACAGAGAACTGCTCCTGTTCGATGCCCTAGACTTTCCCACATTTAGCTGAGGGAAGCAGACGATTAACAAAGACAACTCTTGTTCTGATTTACTTGATTGTTAAACCCACCTCACTGCTGCTGAAGCAATGACAAGAATAGTTCTGATCTTTATATACAGCAAAGGGATGAAGTCAAGAAGAAACCTCTGTAATGTGTATCTTTACTGGACACCGCAGTAAGGCAAATTCCTGGCTCACCTTCTTTTCTCGGTAAAGCCTCTTCCCATGTTAATTTGACTATAAACAATGAGCAAAAAACATAAAAAGTCTAGGACATTTGAGGCCGTGACCTGCTCTAATAAAACATCGCCCTCCTGCTTCTTCTCTGCCTTGGCCTAGATGATGATGTTGTTTTCCCGTCCCCTGGGAATTCCCACTTGGCAATTACGCCGTCCCATGAAGAGGTGACCATCAAGGGGTAAAATGGATGCCAACTGCAATCCCTTACAGGTTCATTATGATGGTTGAGTTTGGCAACTTGATTTCCACTCACCTAGATGAAGCAATCAAATTACTCAAACATTTCGAGGTAACACGAGGAAAGCTGGAAAGGTAACTCAGTACTTAAAGGTTTTACTCAATGCCCACCAATCGTTATCAGAGAATTAGACCCTAAATAGTTCAAATCAGGAGAAAATACTAACCAAATAGACAGATTTTAGGTTCGTGACCTAGTTTTTTTTTTGGTCGAAAGGTTCGTGACTTAGTTACTCACTAGAATAGTTGAGAAACATCAAAAATCCAAATCTATTACAAACTGAGCTAGTCGCAAAACTCAAATGACTGCTCTTCTTTTGGGGCTGTAATCAAATTATCCAATTCAATTGATTTCTCATGGCCTTTGCCACGCCACGTGAAAATTTACTTAAATCCTTATCTCTTCCAGAACCAACGAGCAACCACATTTTCTTTGCTCACGGTAGTTGGTACCTACTCTTAGAAGTGCCTTTCTACAAGTCCAAGGATCACACCATCTAGCATAGTCGCGACCTCCCCATGATTTAGGTGTCATTAAGCATTCTATTTATTTAATAGGAATATAAAAGGATATTGATTTCTTCCTCTCACAGTGCCACATGAAAATTTGAATGAATGAAGATATAATCCGTAATGTAGTAAGGGTCGTACCAGATCATATATATAAACTATACAGTCACTAGATCCGGTGTAGATATACTTCTGACCAGTGCTGCAATGAAGGAAAAGAACAATTAGTGAACACTACAATATCAGCAGGAGATTCTCATCAACCAGCGTCAGCTTTATGAAAAGGGCTTGTTTAGCAACTAGTATAGACATTCATCACTTGAGAAACCAACATGAACAGAGGGATAATTCAAAAAGATTTCGCCATAAAGAATAGGGCTCTTTTTGTGCATTACCTATATGCAGGGGAGAAGTAACAGCGTATCAGAGTATACAACACTGAGTGACCTTTATATGTAGCCACTGACTGATCGTGGGGATGTTTCAAGTTTCTATCTTCGTCTGGGTACTCCATCCACCTGTAATCCCAAATAAAGTCTCTTCGCCTGTGGCTGCCATTTCATAAGAGAAAACTATACCTGAGAATTAACTATTCAAGGAACAAATTCAACTTGTAGTGTGATATATACGTGAATAATCACTCGCAAAAGATTCCAATACAAGAGAAGAGACCCAATGTATTAAAAAACCATTGGTGAGACCAGCCAATAATGCGAGAGAGAGAGAGAGAGAGAGGACCAGCAAGATTGAAAAGACATTATAAAACCTACAATGTTGGACTATTTGAAGTCATCTTTCTTATATCCCATAGTTTTGTAGACTGATCCTTTCCATTTGAAATGAGGTAACGTCCATCTCCACGACTATCAATAAACGTAATGCCTTCTAGATGTCCTGTCAAAACTCCAGCTGCTTGTCCTGTTGTAGAAAGACAACGACGGTCCCAGACCTAAAGAGAATTCATTCACTTAGAAAGCAGAATGCAAATCCATGAGTTCGCTATTGCTAACATATAAATTATAGTGAATTTGACTTATTTGCATACTAATTCCATTAACAACTTTAGCAGCCAATGTCACGCCAAATAAATTTGTTGATTATGATAATCTGAAGTGCGTACCTGCAATACAACAGGGTGAAATAGTGCGTTTTTCACAAAGTTTTACACTTCGTTCACAGAGAAGTTTCTCCTAATTATTTATGCACATGAAATAGTTCAGTCAACCAACAAAGAGGAAAGGATCGTTTCATCTTAAAGGGGGAGATACCGTAAAGCTGCACAACTCAATTTTTTGAGTACCTAGATATTCGATTCTCCAACAGGAAACAGATAGTTGTAACACGTTTCCTTCAAATTCACTAACAAAGTACCTATAGATGCCTAACATTTACATATAATCATATAAAACCTCGTAGACAAAAATACCAATTCGAGATGAAACCACTTAAGTAATAATCGAATTTAGTTTCTTGATTCGAGTAGCAACCTAGACCCTTGACTAAGCAGAAAACATCATTTTCCAAAACCATGGAAGGCTACCTTCTTCATGCCAAGCTTTTTTGGAAAAAAGTCATCAGACAAACTAAGAAATTGAGGCTTCTGTCAACAGAGTAGTCACATTATGCCCCCCACCCCAACCAGAAAAAGAAAGTAGTCATCACAAAAACTAGTAGTCAAGTTCACTCTCTTCTTCCAAAAGAAGGTAATCATATTTACCTTACAGAAATGATCGTCACTTCCAGAATAGATGATGTGGCCACTTTCATCCGCAAAGCATACGGTGTTAACATCAACCTGTAATATGCTAAGCATGCTAAGTATAAGGACCGTAGCTTTTAGCATCTTATGTCTTGGGGTAATGCAGCCAGAACAGCAGGAATGTTTGAAGAATATGAAGACATATAAGAATGTATGCCAAAGAACAAAAAACACCAGCAAAAGTTAATTCAAATTCAATTCTATTAGACCCACATCAACCTTGTTGAATTGACGGCATCAATCTCACGCTTCATCATTCTTTTCAATACACATCTTTTCTCAACTCATACTAGTACATTACCAGGAAATATTCTCCTAATAAGCATGATCGGTTTTTATCTCAACTTTAGCGCTTATCCTAGTGAGCTACCATAATAAGCTCAATCAACTGGTACCACAACCATTTGATGAAAGAAACTTTCTAAAATGCCTAGATCTATAAGCAACTGGGTAAAGTGGAAGGTGGACTGAAAAACTGGGGAAAAGTTGGAACCTGAATTTACTTTAAAGGAAACTTTGATATAGAAAGGGCTTTGATATAGAAAGGACAAGAAACCAATCATTTTAGGATGACAACTAGAGCTTGTAACTTCATGTTGCCCAAGATTCAAGCAATGTAAGTGAAAATTAGACAGATAGCCAAAGTCAAGAGAATAAAGGAACAAGAATTACCATGCTAATTAAGCGAAACTAGAGCCATGCAGAAAAACAGAAAAAAGAGTACCTCTACTCTTCAACGCGATAAAGTAAAATCTAATTAAAAAAGAATGCCGCGTGTGATAGAAGGGATCTAGTCAGTGCCAGACCCAAACCAAAAAAAAAAAAACACCCAAACCAAAGAAAGAAGGGGAAAAAAATGTACGTGAGAGTTTCAATTCATACAGTTTAAATTATTAACGTTTAGCATATCAAACTCATGCCCGTTTGTTCAGACTAAATGAAAACAGTACATCCATTGAAAAGTTGGCGTACCTCATGAGCTGGAATTTGAAGGCCAACCTTGTTTGCTACAAGATCATGAATATATATTGCCCCATCACTGCTTGCAGCGACAAGCTCTCGCCCATCAGTTGAGAACTTCACAGAGAAGATAGAAAACCCTTCATGCTCGTCATCGTTATCAGTAGAGAAATCCAAGCCATCATGTATTTCCTGCATAGAGAGGACTTGCAGCATGAAAAGAGTAGTTTTATCTATCAGATATGGATAGCTTACTACGTAATGAGAAAGCAACAGAGCAACCTATGAGGTTGAGAAGTGCTTCACCTTCCAAGTCTCAAACTAAGAAAAAAGCTAAACTGAATTCTTTAGAAAAAGTTCCTATGCTGCTGTTCTATATGATGTATTGTTTAATATTTCACACACTGATCAAACTGCAGTAAATCAATGTGAGGCTTTCTTATATCTTGCATCACCTACTTTGCATTTCAAATTATGAGACATGATCTAACTGAATGATCCCATTTCAAAGAGAAATCCCCATCCTATTTACCGTAGACGTGATCTAACAGAAGGATCCCATTCAAAAGCAAAATTCCTATCTGATTTTTTCCCAAACAAAATCTTGACAAGCGTCGGGAACATCATCGAGCACAATATTCTTTCGTCAGTTAAAAATTCCCAATGATCATCTTGCGTAATAGTTCCATCCGAAGTAAAATGTTTGTATGGATGTACAATAATAGAATTCTATTAACCATTTGCAAAACAGTCCACAATATTCTGCGATGCACAAAATTCTCCTTTGTAACTTGAAATTTGGAAAAGATTTCCAGACTTCCAGATCACATAATCACAGACCTACCGTGACGTTCGCAAGTGACTCTGTTGCAGCAGATTCAATATTAACAATGTGGACAAGGGGTGACATACTAGAATAGACCTGCAAAGCACAGACCAGTCTGAGCTCCTTCACAAAGAAACCATCAATTTATTTCAGGGAAGTCAAAAAAGAAGTTCCATCAAAACCAAAAACTAAAAAAAATATATATACGACTCAATGAAACTGACAAAATGTACTCACATCATAGAATGAGAATCCTACATTGAAAAGAAAAGAGCACAATATATGACTGTTTAAAGGTCAGGAGGGACATTAGTTGTTGTACAATAAAAAATTCAAATGACATGGAGATCAAATCGAAAAAACCTCATCCGATGTGATAATGCGCTTCCTTGTCGGAAGACCTTTACAAACTTACGAGATAACGTTGATCAGGAGAAAGACAAGTGTCTGTAATTGTCCATCTCAAACTTTTTGCCAGTATGTTCTTCTTAACTTTCCAGCCCTTATCCACGTTGTATATCCTAATATGACTTCCCTGTAATGGTAATAAGCTATGGATTAACAGCATCACATAGATACAAGTGTGCTCCTAGACTTAATTTGACAAGATCACAAACTGAAGTCATAATGTGGCATCCAAAATTTGCCAAATTCCACGAGGAAAATAATGATTACCTGAAAGCCTGCCACAAAGAGCGAACCGTCAGCAGAAAACTGAGAAACATATGCACGGGTTCCCATCTTATCCACCTTTTGAGGGCCACAAATAGGCAAATATCTACTCAACACATGACAGCTATCAGACAGTGAGAACCTCCCCCTCCCTGAATAATTGCTCTCTCGAGCAGCCAACATTCTCAGGGTAGAGACAGGCATTTTCAATCCGCCCAGCGTAGCCTTTCTCAGATGTTCATTGGGTTTGGATCTGAGCTTCGTCAACTGAGCGATGTCATGGTCTAAATCACCTGAATTTCCACTGGATCCTTGAGCTCTGTGGGAACGGTTACCAGAACTCTCCTCGTCGCAAACTTTTATACCCTTGGCAAGCCCAGACATTGCAACAACTGAACCGAAACTCACCTGCTGTGCATTAGTTTGACTATAACTGCATATAAGAGTCTGTCGAGAAAAATATCCTCCACCTTCGAGAATGCACAACAGTGACACCTGACCCCAATATTCAGCAAGGCAAATCCTGCAGATGACAAAAATAAGACAGACTTAACTGCCGGTTCTGCACCTCATCAGAATCAAGACGCCAAACTCCCACAACAACATGACCGTCAATGATGCTCAAGAGAGATGACCGAACTACACGAACACATAAGACACTCATGAAAATGCCCACTGACACCATCGATGCAACCATAACAAGCTCTCGCGAGCTGGCCATCAAAAGAATAAAACATCATGAACATATCACGAATCGTGAATACAATCCGTGTCTAAAATCCCATCTCCTTTCAATCACAATCTAACCAAGAAAATGTCAAAAATTCCCATAACTCAACACCCACAATCAAACATTCCAAAAAGGTTCAGTCTTTCAATACCCTGAAGCAAAATAAGAGAAATTTCGATACGAACTTCCCAATGTTTCAACGTTAGGACCTCAACAACATCGAAACCAGGGAGGTTTAGGACGACCCAGAAACCACCCATGGTTCAGCGCGCGACCAGAGCAAAGTGACCGACATAAAATCAGAGCAGAACATCATGATCACTCACCCGGCAGAGCGGAGAGACTCTCCAGAAGGGCTGGAGGAAGGAACCGAAACAAGGGTATGATTGGGGTTATCTGGGAGGATTCAGATGAAGGGTTTTTATATATTCGTACGCGAGTGCGTATGGGAAGACGTAAGGAGTGCGTCACGTCACGCTCAGTGTTCTTCTTCTTCCTCTTCTACTACCGTTCGTTTCGGTCTCGGGAAGAAGAGCTCCAAGAGCCCAGATCCCATGGCGGCGCATGCTACACGTGTCCGTATTCAGAGCCGATGCTGCTGACGCAAACGGCGGCAGACGGTGTCGATCCATCACCGTGCACCACGACCCTACTCAATTGCAACAGGCTTTGCAAGTAGACGGCGTTCACTCGAGAATCCGTTTCTCAAGCGACATGCAAGAAACCCGTGTTTTAAGATATGTTTGGTGGCCCCTTTTCGTTCTTCACGGAAAAATTCCAAATAAGAAAGTGAAATACTTTCATTTTCTTAAACAAAAGTTTAAAGGGAACTCCATTTCAAATAAGGAATTGAAGTAATCATATGAGTCTTGTAAAGGGACTTGACCTCGCCGATCGAAAGCCATTTTTGTCCTTTACCTTTTTTTTGAATTTTTTTTCCTTTTTTCTTTCATTTTCCTTTTTTTTATTTTTTATTTCTTTTTTCCCTCTTCCCTTCGCCGGCATCGTTGGGCCCCGTTGATGGCCAGCGAAGGTCGTCGGACTCAGATGAGGGCCGCCCTTGCCAGCGTCGGGTGATGGTCACCCTAGGAAGGGGGGGTGAGAGCCACCCTCACCGGTGTTAAGCGAGGGCGATGATGGCTGGGAGACGGAAGAGGGAAAAAGAAAAAAGAAAAATGAGAAAAGAAAAGTAAAGTAATGTAAAAAAAATTAAAAATATGCTTAGAATTTTATTTACTAAAATACCCATTCTCCGATAGCCAGCCAAAAGTCTTTATTTGAGATGATTTGGCTACTTCAGACCCTTTTTGAAACTTAGTTTACTTCATACCTTTATTTGAGAAAATGATGGTATTTCAGGCTTTTATTTGAAATTTTCCCTTCTTTATATGACAAAATTCACCCAATTTACATCAAAAAGATAAAATTGCTCTCAATAATTCAATTGGTGGCCCAACATATTTACTTGCATTTTTTTTCCAGTTTTTTCTATTTATATATAGGATCTAGTTACCATAATTAAGATTTCACATGTTTCGCTTTTGTGTATTGTGGGTATCTCATGTATATTAAATGCATTATGTTTTCAATTTATTGCTAGATTTTACTTTGTCGAAAAAAAATTTCTAATAAACCTAATTCATTTCAACTTTGTGTAATGAATTTGTGGATTAATTGACAAGCAGAATTTAGAAAAAAATTTAACAGACACTTTTTTAACTCAATCACTTGTTTATAAACTTTAACATTTGTTCTGCATATCACCATTAAATCCTTTCTTATAAGTTGTCTTTTACACACACATATATAATAGAATGACCGATGAAATGACAAAAGAAAGAAAAAAAAAGCTTTGTAAATAATTTCCAAAATAAAATCATAGTTACATTCTCCAAATGTAAAACTTTAAAAGATGAAATATAATTAAATAACAACATTCATAAAATAAGATATATTTTTTAAAAATGCCAGTGAAGTCTCATCATTTTGGATTGACAAAATTAATATCATATATGTCATATTTTCGAAAAAATATCAATATAAGAAAGGATTTGATGGTGATATGCACAGCAAATAGAAAAGTTTATGACGATGATATTGTTTTGAAAATTTGTCTATGTTAATCTCTAGATTCTACTTGACAATTAATCCATAATTTTGCTCGACAATGTAAAAAATAATTAGATTTCTTGGAAAATTTTCTTTTCGACATAACTTATTTTTACGGAAGTAAAATCTAAAAAAAAAACATAATGCCTTTAATATACATGGAATAGCCACATTAAATAAACATAAAACATGTGAAATGTTTAATTATGACAATCGAATTCTAAATAAAAACAGAAAAATAATAAAAAGGAAGGAAAGTGAATAAATTTGGGGCTACAACTTTAAATTGCAATTGAATGATTTATGGCAATCTTGCCCTTTTAGTGAAAAATGGATGGATTTAGTCATACAAGGGATGGAAATAGAGTGACCCGGACATTATTGTGAAAATTTTGATAATTTTCTATTTGTCTTCATAAAAGTTTTATAATTTTCTTAACTTTTCCCTCAAATTTTCATTGGGAAAATTACCAAAGGAATCTCAAATATATAGCAATTGTACAAATTAAAGCCTAAACTTTTTTTTTGCCAATTAAGTGTTAAATCTTTTGTATTTATGACGGCAGTTTCACATCCCAAAACAATATTTGAAACCAAGGATTGACAGTTCTAGTGGTCAGCTAACTTTTTAAGGATTCTGTTATTTGGATTCAGGAACGTGGAAATATGTCCTTTCATTTTCAGGATATGTATTTCACCCAAGCGGTCAACGAATTTAACAAAGTTTGGAGTTCTGTTAGTCTAGGAAAGTCGCTGCTGATCAAGACTCTAGGAAAGTCGCTGCTGATCAAGACACAACTTTTGATCAAAACCTTTGTGCAGCACCCCAATGAAAGTTCGCTTCCGTCTCTATTTCCTTCCCTCTTCTTCTCTTCCTCTACTGTTTTTGGCTTGGGTTTATCCTGCAAGCATCTCTTGATCAACAATGCTCAAGATGCATTTTACGGGTAGATTTTCTTGTGAACAGTTTGACATTATTTAGTGACACTTAGATGCAAATGAGAATGAAACTGCATTAGGTAAACATGATTATCAAGTATTTTCTTGCAGACAATCATGGTTGCTTGGAGTTAAAGCTCTCCATCAGTAGAAAAGTGGTGTTTCATCCTTATGAGAACGGAAGTAAAAAGATGCGTAGTGTTTATGAGTTTCAAAACGATCCTTAATTGCGCAATCAGACATATAAATACATCACCAGAGTTGTACAAAACCATTTCTTGGACCGCCTCTGGCACGAAAACTAACACTCGAGATATTCTACAGGAGAAAGCTGAATGCAAAAACAGTAGTTTCTTATTTGCGATGATCATATCTTTGTCCCCAAGTAGAGGAACATTGCTCATTTAGGAAGCTTGTAATTGACTTAACTTTGCTTCACTAAATTAGGGATGGACATTGGAGAGCAATTCCTAGTCGAGCTGCGGATATCGAACGCTCCTCTGAATTAGGAAACCTGTGAATAAGAAAGCGGGAAATATAGGTTCTGGGTTGCGCTAGCATTATTGTCCTCTGCAGCATGACGATGTGACAGTCAAATGACAGTCACAAAATTTTCCTTTCTTCGATACAAAACGCGTGGAAATTTCCAACCGAAACAAAGATCTCTATCTCTCTCATGGAAAAAGTGTGTGGCTGAGGATTGACCGTCCGTTTTCTAAGCTAACAGTACGGTTAGCCAAGCATTTTCCTAGGTTTCTAATATGAAAGGAGACTAGTTAGGATTTTACAAGAATGAAACCCCACACAATGTCACTACATTAGAATGGACAGAGTATACAGGCAGAGGCATCCAGCAATTATTGTCAATGATAAAATCAATTTCGAAGTTCAGCTTCTCTTCTTTTCTTTAAATATTTAAAAGATCAGAATAAAGAGATCAAGCAAAATCTGAGAACAACTATTTAAAACAGTGAAAAAGCTCGATCGTGGATGTTACTGCAAGATTTCCCCTAGGCCACAGTTGATTGATTTTCTCCTTTTAAATCAGTATAAAAGAAATCTTAACATTGATTGACATAGACACTACATAGCAATGCTCAAGACTCTGTGCATCGCGGCCCTTGTGCTAGCGCAATACCAATACGGATGAGGACCAGTTATGTATTTTCCAATAGATTTTGGACAATTGTGTACTTCTCTCCCTGTGGGGGTATAGTACCACTGAGATTGTTACTAATATGAGTGAGCAAGTTCAGAGATTTGTCCACAAAAATTGTTACCACCAAGACCTATTACGTTCACTTTCGTGAGATTTCCTAAAGAAGAAGAAATTGTCCCTCTGAGATAGTTATCATCTAACCGTGAAAACCACATATTTCATCATAGATTTGTCAAATTGGAAATGAAAACACTTGAAAACTCATTTAGGAACATGTTCAATACTTTATGGTTCACAACATTGTCAATCCATCTATGAATTTCTCCAAATATTAAATTCGCACTCACATCAAATAGTGTGAGGGCGGTGGCTAGATTTACCTAGATGCACTTAGGCAATGCCCCGCCGAAACTGTTGCGGGAAGTGGACTACCTCTGATTTAGTGGCGCTTGCCAGCGAGCAAAGGAAGGTCAATCTCCGGGTTTTCTGATCCGAGTTGAAGTGACTCTGGATATGTGCATATCGATATCGACAACAGCCTAAAGCATGAATATATTTATTAATAGCTAGTAATATTTCAATGTGTAGAGTAACTCACTAAGAGGAATATTAACTTTTGGCCTTTAAATAGTTGATAATATCTCCACGTGATTAATATATATTTGAATGAAAATTTGGGTAAGTGATTATACTAAGGGTGTGTTTGTTTGAGGGAAAGTGTTTTTTTGGAATCCGTTTTCCGGATTTTCATCCATTTGGTTTGCCGAAAATGATAAATCAACCGAAAACACTTTTCGGTCAAGGAAGACATTCATGTATAAAATTAGGAAAGTGAATTTCCTAATCTAAGAAGGTGAAAGCACTTTTCAGGATTGCTCATCTTGAATTTGTTACTATTTTGTTTTTTCTTTTCTTCTTTTTCTTTTTTATTTTTCTTTTCTTTCTTTTTCTTTTTCCTTCTTCCTCCCTCCACCAGTCGCTAGCCTCGGCGACAGGCCACAAGTGCGCGTTGGCGAAACAAACGCATTTTGAAATTATTTTCCAAATGAGATCCAAACACCAGAAAACTTTTTCAATCATCCATCACCAAACAAAGAAAAACTAACCACTTTCCTGGAAAATGATTTTCCAGAAAATATTTTTCAAAAACGTTACGTTTTCCGTGAAATAAACGTACCCTAAGTGGTGAATCAAAGTGCTGCTCTGGCAATAAAGAATTATAGTAAGCCAGTCATTTAGCATAGTTAGCTACTTTTCACCATGGAATGTAGGCGTTTGC